GATTGCATAAAATATTTTAAATTGTGCTTATCAGACATAAAAAGAAAGAAATAGAGATTCTTGGTCTTTACAGCCTGTGTTTTGAAGATGGGATAATCCCTAAGAATACATTTCGCTTTCATAGAATCATAGCGCCAGAGAGATTGTAGGTTGTTGTTTTTTTTTTTTATAGAATATTGTTCGCCTACAAGTTTTATCACTGTCAATATGGGGTCTGTTTTTGTGATTTAAATTGCTATTAGAAATATTTCATCACTAAAGGTAATCATTGGCAAAGTAATTTTTCATTCATGTGTGTGATTCCAAAGGGCTTGACACATTAGCAAATATATAGTTTAGAATTACATTTCTTGAGGAAAATGCTTCATAAAGTATATTCATTTTTGAAAATATGATTTAATTATAGAAATGAAACAGGCTTTTTTTTTTCAAGAACTTGTAGGTACTATTTAAAGACTATATACCCATTGCTTTAAAATAAAAATTTTGCTCCTATAAACCTTTATAAAAGGCAGAAGTAAAAAGAGGATTATGTAGAACATACTGTATGTATTTAAATATGTAATGTATGTATTTTGTAGAATAAAAGAATGATGGATTTTCTGTGGAATTTCTTATATATCCTGTTCTCAATAGATAAGTCATTAATTGGTGTTATTTTTAACTTCTTGTTATGACCTTCTCTGGTGAAAGAAATAATAAAATTCAGCAGTTGTTTTATAAAACTAGGAATTGCATAAAGGTGACACTAAAAGTTTTTTTACTCAAATAAATGGATAAACGAAGATTTTAAGATTCTTTAAAATACAAAATAATGGTTTTATAATATATGTGCCTTGCATTTTTCAGTATTCTGTCTACTCATATTATTTCACATTATCATATATGTAACTTTGAAAGACTTTCCTTTGAAAGACCATCAGACATAAGAATAAAATACGAGAGAAGTTGAATTGTCTTATTTCTCAGTTCAGGAAAAGCAGTTTAATAACATTTAGTGTTCATCCAATTAATACTAATTTACCACATGTAATGCATTTAATCATTCAGTTAAGTAATTAGTAAATGTAAAGGAAAACATATGCCAATTTCTCCTTGGATCATAACCTCATACCTTCCATCGTCAATGAACTCCCATTGATGCCTACTTGCTACATTCACCTTTTGATATCTGTCACTGATGTGAGATCTTTTTTTTTTTTTTTAATGTGATTCTGAAGACCCTTCAGCTTGAATTACATAGTTCTTCCATCCACAAGTATGGCTGAAAGTTGAACTTGACATAGGATCAATATGATCTGGGCTAAATATCTAAATGTGACTGATTATGTTAGCATCATGTCCACAGATCAATACTGAGTTTTATTATGAGCCTGACTCTATAATTGCGTTTAATCAATAAACTTTTGTCTCCTTTCCTTTGCAATTTTAGGATTGTGCCATATAGGTTTTAAAAACTACATTCAGCTTACATTTAGGACTCTACTTTTTGTAATTACCAGAATGAGATCTGTCTATAAATTTTAAGAAACAATGGAGCCTCAGCTCTACCATTGTCAGGAGAGTCCACTTTTATCCCGATAACTGATTGCTTGCCCAATGTGCGCTACATTTCTAACAGAGCTAATGTAGTAACACCCCAGCACTCCTTTTGGGTGGTGTGTGGCTTTTTCTCTATATACTTAGTAAATAACTCACATTGAAGACTTTGACAAAACATACCATTAATGAAAGCAATCATAAAAGCTTGCCTTTTGATAAACCCGCAGGGTCTACAGGCGTTGAAAGATGCAGTCTGTAAAGAACAGTAAATTTGGACCTTTGATTGAAGTGCCATTTGGGACGTTATGCTTTGTCTGCATATTTGCACAAACATGATGCTCCCTTTTTCATGTCTCCTAAACTTGAAGCTTGAGAGCATTCATTGCCATTTCTACATTAAGGTTGGTCCCATTAAATAAGACTCAAAAAAAAAAAAAAGACTGGAAGTGGTCCAGCGGAAGCCTGTGTGTTCATTTCTGCCCTAGTTTGCCATTTGGAAAGCAAGCTTCTAGCCATCGTTGCTGTTTTTTATGAATAGATCTGGGTTCTTTTCCAGTCGGTTCCTTCTGTAAATACATACTTAAAACGCATCTACCTTTCTTAAAATTGGAAAATAAGATTAGTTCTCTGATGAATATTAAAAGTAGCTTAGAGTGAAAATAGCAATTTCCTCATTTCAAATGATTTGCAGATTTTTCCAGGTCATTATTCATTAGGCTCCAAAAAATTACAATCTATGTTACTATGCTGAATTCTTGGCATCGTATTTTTTGTAATACAAAATAGTCTATTATCATGAGGCATGCATTTTGTGTTCAAAAACTGTATTTGCCCATTATTAAGCCAGAAAAATAAATGTATTATACATGCTTTTTTGAATTTACAGATGCAGACCGTTTTCAGAAACATGGTATGGATGAGTTTATTTCTGCTAATCCTTGCAAGCTTGACCACGCCTTCCTTTTTAGAATACTGCAGAGGCAGACTTTGGATCACAGACTGAATGATTCCTATTCTTGCTTAGTAAGTACAAGTCTGTCTCTCCAGTCTCCTATAGGTTAGAATGAAAGATTTTTTTTTTTTAAGTGAGAAACACTTGTTATGAAGCGGCATTTTATTCCTGACTCCTTTAATAACTGTAGTTGGGAGTTAAGGATGAAGGATTCCAATCGATTGCTTCCCAATTTGAAAATTATACACTTGAAGACCACTGCTGGGCCACTCAATAGACAGGAGAATAGACTCAAACAGACCCTGAATTGTGGTTTATCAGTCCCTCTGGAGAAAGCTGAATGAAAATAAAGGCTTTAATGAAGATAAAACAACCTCTGGGACAGGATTTACTAACACCTGTATAGACATTTTAAGGTTTAAATTCTGCTCACCCAATGTTGCTATCTTTCATTTTTCTCTTTTGTTCCTAGAAGGACAACCCAAGTGATGGGGGAAAGAAACAGTGCGAGAAATACGACAGGGCCACATGTAACATTGAAAATCTTTGGTTTCATTTAGCCCTCCAAAGATAATTTGAATTCCTTAAAAAAAATAAATGGGATTGAATCGAGTAAACTGCTACTCTGTGTTGAAACCAGCCAAAACTTGGAATATAAAGTATAGTTTACATTTTGAAGGAATGCTTGACTTCCTCAGAATGTGGGCAATTAAACTGCAGCCTAGGCATCCATATGTGCCCTTCCAAGGATTTATATTGTCAGTGGCAGTTCCTCAGAAATGTATCCAGCCAGACTATCCCTGTTTCTATCACCACAGTCTCTTGGCTCCTGAATGTGGTAGCTACCTACAGTAAAGCTACCTTGTCTTTAAGATTTCCAACAGGATGTGCTCAAGCTCATTGGAGATGTTTGAATAGACAGGGAGAACTGAAACCACTTATTGTTGTGATGACAACTTACTGCCCTGATAAATCATTTTTTTAAAATTTTTTTTCATGATAAATCATTTATAGACTTTTTATTAAGTACTGCTTATTCAACATGTAACTATGGCTTAAACCCCATCCAGCCCAAACTTTACATGAAGAGTAAGAGCATCACAAAACCCTATGCTATCTTTCCAGGGGGAAACACCTGGAGTGGACACCAATAAGGGACTTCCCTGGTGGATTCCACTCAGCGGAGGGAGTTACTGAATGATTAGAAGTTGTTTGGGTTATGTGGATGATCCCACGTGATGAGGAGTCTGAGAACACTACAGTATGTCTTCAACTGTATCTAGAGGGTAGTAAGCACGGTGTGAAGAGACTGTTTGGAGGCAGGATGGCCCTGGATGTAAACCATGACTCAACAATTGATTTTCAGTGTCCTGAGCAGTTCACTAAAGGTCACTGAACTGTAGCCTATGTGTCTAAGCTGGATTTCAGAGTAACGCACAGGCATGGTGGTTCTAATACTACACAGACATGTTGTCTGTCTAGTTGAGCGCCTGCGCCATCACCACAGTATTTGCTCTTTTTTTCTCCCCTCTGCTTTGTCTTATTGCTGTCTTACCTTTTTGCATTTCTCACCCATCTTTTTCTTCTCTTGCACAGTTATCCTGCCCCCTTTTAAAACTGTTTATTTTTAGTCCATATTATCCATCGAAATGTTTTATAAAGCAACTCTGCTTAACCCTGACCTCTGGTGTTAGCCAAGCAGGCTACCTGCTGGTTCAGATGGCTCACAAGCATCCACGAACACACACGCACCCTTCACATCTCATTTTAAGAGAACCAGAAACTATTGTAAGCCATTAGCCCTTGTTATATTGGTCCTAGAGGGACAAAGAGAATGAGAACAATGTCCCAAATATGCAAATTACCAAATAGTATACGTTTACTACCACTAGACTTAACTGGAATTTTCTTAGTTCACTTTATAAAATGTTTTTGGCAACTAGGCAATTTCAATTATAGTATCTGCTTTAACCATTCTCTTTATAATTGATTCATACAGAGTTTGAAGTTTTTCAGAATGTTACTCTCTGTGACTGATGATTCAGATACTGTGAATAAATTTGGCCGATTTTGAATGACAGTGGAGAAAAGCAGGTAGCCCGTGTCTTGCCGTGGCAATGAAGAGAGAATAGTATTCAATTACGAGTGTCCCAGATCAGGTCCAAAATTGATGACATTAGCTTTATGAAAATAACATGAAACATACCACTAATAAAAAAAAAATGTCAAAAGACACTTGGATTCAGCTTCTTCTTATAATGTCAAAGAGTGCCTGAAGAAAAGCAAATCCTAGTACAGAAAGGAAAATTTTTTTTTCTTTTGCAGGGTTGGTTTAGCCCTGGCCAAGTCTTTGTGTTAGATGAGTACTGTGCCCGTTATGGTGTGAGAGGCTGTCACAGACATCTCTGCTACCTTACAGAACTGATGGAACATTCAGAAAATGGTGCTGTCATTGACCCAACCCTGCTCCATTACAGCTTTGCATTCTGCGCCTCTCATGTGCACGGCAACAGGTATTTTTACTTGCAAACACACAGTGAAATGTGTAGGGTTGACTTAGGAAGAGAGAAAAATGTGCTTTGCCACTATCACCTAGTAACTCATTTTAAATAGCAAACACTTCTTGCAGGAGGCGGGGAGAAAACTCACAAAGGAAAAATGTACATCAATATGCTGTTGATTTAGGTTGGCTGCACTTTAGGTTTCTTTTTGCCGTTAAAGCCACTTGAAAGAGAAAGGAAGAGAATATCTATGAGGTTAGAAGTTGCCTTTTAGTTCTTTTGTACCACCTAGTACTAGGGGCTGCACAGCTTAAGTGTCCTCTGTATTTCTGTTGTTATGCATATGTATGTCTGGGTAAGGCTTGCTGATGGGTTTGTGTATACCTGATACTTCTTGCTTTTCCACTGTGGAATAAGCTTTCACTGATAAAGCAAGATAAATAAGGAGGTTTATGGGGAGTCTTCTCTTAGCCCCTTCCCTAATCTATACTTCATTTTATTTTATTTTATTTTTAATTTTATTTATTTATTTGTCAGGGAGAGCACAAGCAGGGGGAGCGGCAGGCAAAGGGAGAAGTAGGCTCCCCACTAAGCAAGGAGCCCCCCTAATCTATACTTTAGGAACAAGTGTCCCCTTTTAGTGTTTTGAGCCAAAAGGTTAAAAAGTCACCTAATGCAGGCCCCCACCATCATGTGCCTCTAGAAGCTTAAAATCTCTCCGTGTCTCAGTCCCTCTCTTCTCTTAATCCTGTTCCAAGGGAACCTTTTCTGGGGTTCCTCCCACAAAGGAGGTACCCTTTCTCCCATCCCCCTTTTAGCTTGTTTCAACCATTATTCCTTCTCTTTCTCTCTCTCTGTACTTCCTTTCTTCCACAAGCCTGTGTAAGCTTTTACTAGCCTCACAACAGAACAGAGTGGTCAAGGGACTCTGAAGTCAGACTGCCTGGGTTCAAAGTAATACGAATTAATAGTGTGAGGTAGGGCAAGCTTCATAATCTAGTCTTGTCTGAAATTCCCTATCTGTGGGAAAGATATAACAGAGTATCTCTTTCAGAATTCATGAATCATCATAGGGATCAAATGCATTAATGTATATCAAGCACTTCGAACAGTGCCTGGCACATGAATAGTCAAAAAAAAGTTAACTGGTAGCTCATATTGTCTTAAGTATCGTTAAGCTGTCAAGCTACCTTTCCATTGTTCTCTTTTATCTTCCCAACCAAATTTCCATCTCCATTCCTCTCATTGCCAACAAGGCTTCTTGAGATAGACTGGGTAAGGACCTAATCCAGTAGCCTTTTCTCCAGCTTCGCCCTCCTTACTCCCATTGAAAAGCTGATGCTCTGGACTTTCCAAGGGCTTGTGCTGCTTGAGACGCTGCTTATTTGCCCTGATGCAGCACTATCTCATCTCAGCTCCCTTCTTATTTATTTTTGACCATCTCTTTGCTAATAACTTTTTTTTCCTCCAGACTCCCAAGTGCAGTATAGTTCTTTTCTCACATCTGTTCTTGAACTTGCTCTGTTCTGAGAATTTTTCTACTTCACAGAAAAATTGTACTTCAGTGATCTTGCCCCTTTCCACAGCTTCAGTGACCTGTCTTTATACAGAATTCCAAACCAATTACTCTCCTAAGCTATAGGTCTCTATCGACAATTGACAGCTTGAATGTTCTGGCACTTTCAACTCTCTGTGTATAAAATGAAGTCCATCATCTTGGGGTGCCCGGGTGGCTCAGTTGGTTAAGCATCCAACTCTTGATTTGGGCTCAGGTCATGATCTCAGGGTTGTGGAGATCAAGCCCCACATCGGGCTCAGTGCAGGGTCTGCTTGGGATTTTCTTTCTCCTCTCCCCCTGCCCCACCACCCCTCTCTAAAATAAATAAATGTTTAAAAAAGAAATTAAGTCCATCATCTCACTAAACCAGCTCCTGTACCTCTTTTAGCTCCTAACAGGGTGCCTGGCAAAAAGTAACACTTCTGGCACGAAATAGGTGTTCCGTAAACATTTGGTTAATGAATGAATGACTGCGTTAGTTATGTGAATATCACTTCCATTCATGGCCTATTCATTTTCATTCATCTTTTTCTTTTACCTCCTAGACCCAGTCTGTTGCCCATGCCAATGCTCTGCCTTTGCAGCACCCCTCAAGTCGGTCTGTATCATTTCCATTGCACTCTCCTAACTCAAGCCTTCTTTTTCTTCTTGCTTCTTTATTTTTATGCATCTCTCTACTATTTTTTCTCCCTACAACAGTCTAGCAATCACCTTCAAAATTACAGATTAACTTTTATTATACTCCTTTTGGAAAACTTCAGATTCTTGTTTGATTATGAAATTAAAGATAAGTTCCAAGCTATAGTATTAGGGTTTTCTCAACATCATTCTTTTCCCATCTACCCAGACTTCTCTCCAAGTATCCCTCCCCACATAATCTTTACCCCAGGCAACTTGTTTATTCTCCACATAATGATTCTCTTTTTCCAAGTTTGTGATAGTCCAATATCATAAAAGTCCTTGAAGAAGACTTCTGTTAACACAAACACCAAACGCCTTTTAACTGTAGTTTCCTTATAAACTTTATCATGCAAACCTACATGCTAAATCCACACACACTGCCCTTCTTCTATCCCACAAGGTCATATTTTGAAGGCAAAAACTGGTTCTCTTCACCTGTTATGCTCTGTAGGAGGATGTGCCACATTGCCTTGCATGTTGTGGGCACACAATAAATACTTTTTTAAAGATTTTATTTATTTATTTGACAGAGAGAGACACAGCGAGAGAGGGAACACAAGCAGGGGGAGTGGGAGAGGGAGAAGCAGGCTTCCCGCTGAGCAGGGAGCCCGATGCGGGGCTCGATCCCAGGACCCTGGGATCATGACCTGAGCCGAAGGCAGACGCTTTTAATGACTGAGCCACCCAGGTGCCCCCACAATAAATATTTTTGAATTGAAGTCGTCGTTGCCAGTTCTCATCCCACAGTAAAATAAAACCAATCCTAGTCTCAGCATCTGTTCAGGGTTTTACCTCATTATGGAACTCAGCCTTACTTGGGAATTAGGGGAAAGTTGCAGATGATAGTCCTGTCTCCCATTACCCCAAAGTAAACCGTCTGCACTCCACAAACTTTGCTGGGCGGGGCGGGGGGCAGGGTGGGAGCAGTAAGGGAGCAGCGAGAACAGGGGACAGTTGGGATGGCTAACAGAGAGCCAACATGAGCGACTTTTTTACTAAACCGGTTTCTTAGCTCCTGGTTCTGTCTGTCTTCCTCCCAACCAGTGGATGTCAAAAGAGAGGTCTCCCAATGTTAGGCAGGGCTCGGAAATGCAAGAGGATAAAAAGATTGCAGTGAAACAGACATACCCAAAGAATTGTGTATGATCAGATTATTGTAGTCATTAACACTGAAAGGGATAATCAAATTGAGAACATTAAGTAGGAAATTCAGCTGATGCCTCCCCAAAAAACGGGTGTGTTTGAGACACATTTTAATGGAAAGTTACTGAGGCACCTGGGAGTTGCTGCCTCAAGGCAGCCTGATTTGAATCTATAGGTTGCCATAGTTACTTTTATTCTGTAAAACTATTGTTTTCTTTATAATGGTACACTGTAAAGTGTAATTTAAGGTGTGTTTATATGTTCATGCATGCATTATACCTAATATTACACATTAAATCAGTTTTCCAGGTTAAAATGTGTACATTTTCAGGTATCTCTGAGTGGTATAAAACAAATTGGAGTCGGTTTGGGATTCAACATTTGGGTGACATGGAGCTTAAGAAAAAGGAGAAATGCCGGTTTTAGGGAAATTTGAACCTCAGTTTAAGGTAGAAGTTATCTAAGATAAACTGAAGGGGTATGATGTTTCCTGTAATCTTTTAGAGTCTAACAGATGTCATTCAGAAATGTCATGCTGTCACAGTGAAAGCATAAAAAAAGAGGCAAAAGATCCCTACTTGAGTCTGACTCTAAAATCTGCAAAGGGACCCAGGTTGGGCAAATCACTTAACCTTTCTGAAACTCTAAGGTGTCATGTGTAAAAGGGGAAATATGGTAATTATACTCTATCAGTATTGATTAGTTGTTATTCTATCATGCTTGCCTTTGCCAGTCAGCCACGGGGATGTAAATTGTGAGAGGAGAAAACCGGGAAAAGTAGGTAGAGCTGCAATACCTCATGCTAAGTGCAAATATTGCAGCACATATGTAGTTAGACTCTTCAGTGTTTTTGCTAATAGAATGTCCGGGTTTTAGCAACCTCGCCTTATGAACATAAGCTCCTCTTATCCAGGTCTGCAGTATCTGTTATTTATGTAGACTTTTGTTGAAAACACTGTCAGTGGCAAGTTGGACTTTCCTACAGTGCTTGCCATAGTCTCTCTTTATGATCATTTTTATGTCTGCCAAGACACACATTCAGAGCACCGTTTTGCTCATTACCTGAGCTATCTCTGTCAAAAATTCAAAAGGAAAAAGGATCGCCTTTTGTTATCGACTGAAGTGAAGGACAACAGTGCTGTCTGGATCGGAAATGTTTCCGGGAGCACATCCTATTACACAGCTTTGAGCTCTCTAGGTGCTCTCTGCCACCACATCTCCCGTGAATAGCACTCGGAGCGTTTCAGAATAAAAGAATAGAGTTAAACAGAAAAGGTCTGGCTGGTGCTAAGACTGAGGAAGAGAGAGAAAAGGAAAGGAAGAAAGAAAAAAGTGAGTCAAGGACAGAAACAGACACATTCCTGCAGGAGGACAGCCTCACACTCGGCGATCGCGCCGCTGAGGACCCACAGCAAGGAGAAAAGAGACTTTCAGAGACAATGCATTACAGGGCAAAGTTCTAGGTTGATATGTGTGGTTATACATCTCGGTTTTGCTCATCAGGCTGAGGGTGGGGAAACTGAAGCAGCAACACAGAATGGCTTTTTTGTGTCCGTTTACCGTAAGGTGTATATCCAATGTCTTCACGGGCTCTGGGGCAGTTTAGTAGGGCCGTCTGCGGCCTGCTCCA